CATCGCCCTGGTGGACGGCTTCTCCGACGCCTACGTGCGCGGCAGCGAGGAGGCGCCGGCCGCCGAGCCCGACGGACCCCTGACGCTCTACCTCATCGTCTGCCTGGCCTGCGTGTCGGCGCTCTTCCTGGCCACCGCGGTGGCCGCCGCCGTGCTGAGGCTGCGTCGCGCCAGGCGGAGCGAGGCCGACACCTTGCCCACCTTCCCGAAGGCTGCCGCGGAGAGCAACGCGGGCTCCCTGCCCCGCAGCCTCGTCTACGACGTCTGCTTCGCCGCCGGGACCGTCAACAGCGAGTTCCGGTTCCTCCGGCCCCTCTTGCCCTGCTTCCCCGCCGGGCTCCCCCCCGGCCCGGGCGAACAGCGGAGCTCCGTGTGCTCGCAAGAGGCGGCCAACCTCGGCGAAGAAGGCGACTTCGGGGCTGCACAGGTGAGGGACCTGCCCGGGCCGCTGTGCTTGCGGAGGGAGCGGGGAGGCAGCAGCACCGCGGGAGCTGGTGGGGGGGGCGGGGGGCGTGTCTGCTTGGGGAGTGCCCGCGCCCGGTGGCACGGACTCTTGATGTTGCAGAGCCAGTGGTGGAGGAGTCACCGGGGTGGTAGAAGAGGGTAGTGAGGGTCTCAGAGCTGCTGGTGGGGACGTCCCAGGAGGATCTGGCAGGGCTCAGCTGCGCTGCAATCCAGACTCATCGCGCCCCTCTGCATCCAGCTCTAGGCCCTGAGTATTCATGTGACATCAGGTCTTTAGAGTCACCACAAAGGGGGTGAGCTGGACAGGGATGGGATGAGAAGGAGGGGTATGGATGTGTGTGCCACTCAGTGGCTCCTGTCCACACACTTTGTAGAGCCCGTAGGGACCCAGGGCAAGAATGACACTGCTCCCAGGGATGACAGCAGCAGGAATGCAGCGGTCCAGTGTCTAGTGGGACTGCGGGGTCGACGGTGCAAAGCGTATCACATCACTAGTGGTCAAGAGGATGACCACAAGCCAGCAATGTGCCCTTGAGACCAATGGCATAAGGAGTTCCATCTAAACACGTGGAGAAACGCCTTTACTTTGAGGGTGGGAGAACACTGGAAGAGGCTGCCCAGAGTGGTGGTGGAGTTTCCTCCTCTGGAGACATAAAAAACCCATGTTTTGACATGTTCCTGTGAAATCTGGACATGATCCTGTGAAATCTGCTCCATGTGGACCTGCTTTGGCAGGGGGTAAGACTAGATGGTTCTGTAGGGCCCTTCCAACCCCGTATCGGGGCGTGTCTGCTTGGGGAGTGCCCGCGCCCGGTGGCGCGGACTCTTGATGTTGCAGAGCCAGTGGTGGAGGAGTCACCGGGGTGGTAGAAGAGGGTAGCGAGGGTCTCAGAGCTGCTGGTGGGGACGTCCCAGGCATATCTGGCAGGGCTCAGCTGCTCTGCAATCCTGACTAACCCTCTGCATCAAGCTCTAGGCCCTGAGTATTCCCGTGAAATCAGGTCTCTAGTGTCATCGCAAAGGGGGTGAGCTGGACAGGGATAAGGAGGGATATCGATGTGTGCGACTCTCAGTGGGTTCTGTAGGGACCCAGGGCAAGAATGACACTGCTCCCAGGGACGACAGCAGCAGGAAGGCAGTGGTACAGTGTCTAGTGGGACTGCGGGGTCGACGGTGCAAAGCGTATCACATCACTAGTGGTCAAGAGGATGACCACAAGCCAGCAATGTGCCCTTGAGACCAATGGCATAAGGAGTTCCATCTAAACAGGAGGAGAAACGCCTTTACTTTGAGGGTGGCAGAACACTGGAAGAGGCTGCCCAGAGTGGTGGAGGACTCTCCACCTCTGGAGACATTCAAAACCCATGTTTTGACATGTTCCTGTGAAATCTGCTCCATGTGGACCTGCTTTTGCAGGAGTCTAAGACTAGATGTTCTGTAGGGCCCTTCCAACCCCGTATCGTTCTGTGATTCTGTGATTCCGTGATTCGTTGCAGGGCAGAGCTCCCCTCTCTGAAGACCCGGGCCCCAGGGCTGCAGAAGCAACTTGCGCTGCAAACCGGGGGATGGAGCTGAACATCAATTCTGATCCAAACACTTGGGTCACCCATCAGTAAGTGAGGAGAGAGCAAAACACCTCTGTTGTCCTTGGCTAATGTGCTCGCTGCAAAAAGAGAATGAAGAGACCAAACACCCACCAGAAAAGTACCGGAAAGGTGCCAGCCTTCTCTGTGAGAGAGCAAACCCACTCTCCTCTCGAGCACTTCTTTATTCATGTAGGTCTTTTGCAATTGTGGTTGAGGCGGAAGAGGAGGACTGTGTTGCATGTTGATTACACCGAAATTTGATGTATGATTGTGAGATTCCCACTGCTTCTAGATGTTCATGTAAATCCCGAAAACTGGAAGCAGACCTTCCAGGCAACTTTTTCCTACAACACTTTTACTACATTGGTTTTTAGTTATTGTGGGGTTCCACCAAAACCACCTGACACCCAATCCAGAAACACCACACACCCCCAAATAACATTTTCATGTTTCATAACCGCTGGTGACTTGGACTCACTTTGCTTTGTGTCCTCAGCAGCCCAGTTGCAGTAGTTTCTGGGGAGACAAGGACCCCCCTCAAAACACCAGCATTAAGCCACATTTGCTGTACGTGAGAAAGCAGTTTTAATTTGAGCACTTACCATCTCATATTTCATCCTCAGAGTCATAAAAGTTTTTCAGAAGTGCCTTAGTGCTGTCCAGAGTGGATGGAGGATGGTTCCCAGCTTTAGATTGTTGCTGTTAAGGTCAGAGACCCACTGCCTTGTTCAACCTCCTCTTTGGCTCTGCGTAGAGAAGAGTGGTGTCACACAGGCAGTGGGGTAAGACGTGCCCTCTAAGCTTCTCGCTGGTGTCTGCTGACCTTCAACGCCCAAATGACAACCTCCCTCTCTGTTCTCCACTCTTCTTGTGGGTGAGGATAAAGGGGCAGGCCAGTATGAGGGAGACCCTTGTGGGTGTTTATTACAGGCCACCTGACCAGGATGGGGAAGCTGATGAGGCCTTTTACAGTCAGCTCCAAGTAGCCTCACAATCACAGGCCTTGGTTCTCATGGGGGACTTCAGTCACCCTGGTATCTGCTGGGAAGGCTACACAGCCAGACACGTACAGTCCAAGAGGTTCATCCTGTGTATTGAAGGTAACGTCTTGACTCAGGTAGTGGAGGAGCCAAGAAGGAGAGGTGTACTACTGGACCTAGTACTGACAAACAAAGAGGGACTGGTAGAGGACATTTAGGTTGGGGGAAGCCTTGACTGCAGGGACCATGGAAAGATAGAGTTCAGGATCGTGTGTAGCAAAACAAGTTGGACTGAAACCTTGGATTTCTGGAGGGCTAACTTCAGCCTCTTCAAGGAACTCCTTGGGGAAATGCCCTGGGTTAAGGCTCTGGAAGGTAGGAGGGCTCAAGACAGCTGGACAATATTCAAATATTGCTTTCTCCAAACTTAGGATGGTACATGCCTAAGAGAGAAAAAAAACAGGCAGGGGAAGCAGGAGATCTATGTGGTTGAGCAGGGAGCTTCTGAAAAAGCTCAAGCAGAAGGAGGAAGTTTACCTTCTGGAGTGGAAGAAGGGACTGACCACTTGGGAAGATTACCAGAATGCCATTAGAGCGTGCAGGGATGAAGCAAGGAAAGCCAAGGCCTCCTTGGAATTAAAATTGGCAAGGGATGTCAGAGTCACCAAGAAAGGTTGTTTCAGGTCTGTTGGAGGCAAAAGGAAAACGAGAGAAAATGTGGGCCCACTGGTGAATGAGATGGGTGCCATGGTGACAGAGGATGCAGAGAAGGCAGAATTGCTGAATGCCTTCTTTGCTTCAGTCTTTCCTGCTCAGGCCAGCCCTCAGGAGTCCCACACTTTTAGGGCAACAGAAAAAGCCTGCACAAAAGAAGACTTCCCCTTGGTTGAGGAAGACCAAGCTAGGGCACAGTTAAGTAAACTGGATATCCGCAAGTCCATGGGTCCTAATGGGATGCACCCACGAGTGCTGAGGGAACTGGCGGCAGTGATTGCTGGGCCCCTCTCCATCATCTCTGAAAGGTCCTGGAGTAGAGGAGAGTTGCCCAAGGACTGGCGGAAAGTCAATGTCATCCCAGTCTTCAAAAAGGGCAAGGAGGACCCAGGAAACTACAGAGTGGTCTGTCTCACCTCCATCCCTGGAGGCACAACTGGATGGACAGATGAGGTGAGGGTGGCAGATGTGGTCTACCTTGACTTCAGCAAGGCTTTTGACAGAGTGTCCCACAGCATCCTTATAAGTGAGTTTAGGAAGTATGGGTTAGATGAATGGACAGTGAGGGTTGAAAACTGGCTGAAAGACAGAGATCGGAGGGTTGTGATTAGTGGCACAGAACCTAGTTGGTGGTCTGCAATAAGAGGGGTTCCCCAGGGATCGGTACTGGATCCAGTCCTCTTCAATAAATCCATCAGTGACCTGGATGAAGGGATTGAATGTACCCTCAGCATGTTTGCTGACCATATAAAACTGGGCGGGGGGGCTGACACAGCAGAACTCTGTGCCGCCATACAGTGAGACCTGGACAGGCTGGAGTATTGGGCAGAGATGAACCTGATGAAATTCAACAAGGGCAAGTGTAGGGTGCTGCACCTGGGGAGAAATAACCCCAAGCACCAGTAAAGGTTGGGGGCTGATCTGCTGGAGAGCAGCTCTGAGGAAAAAGGCCTGGGAATCCTGGTGGACAATAGGATGACCAAGAGTCAGGAATGTGCCCTTGTGGCCAAGAAGGCCAATGGCATCCTGGGATTCATCAAGAAGAGCATGACCAGCAGGTCGAGAGAGGTTATCCTCCCCCTCTACTCTGCCCTGGTGAGGCCCCATCTGGAGTACTGTGTCCAGTTCTGGGCTCCCCAGTTCAAGACAGATAGGGAACTGCTGGAGAAGGTACAACAGAGGACCACAAAGATGATTAGGGGTCTGGACCATCTCCCTTATGAGGAGAGGCTGAGGGACTTGGGTCTTCTTAGTCTGGAGAAGAGAAGGCTGAGAGGGGATCTGATCCACACCTATAAATACTTAAAGGGTGGGTGCCAAGAGGATGGGGCCAGTCTTTTGTCAGTGGTGCACAGTGACAGGACAAGAGGAAATGGGCACAAACTTGAACATAAGAAGTTCCATCTAAACGTGAGGAGGAACTTCTTCACTTTGAGGGTGGGAGAGCCCTGGAACAGGCTGCCCAGGGAGGTGGTGGGGTCTCCGTCTCTGGAGGCATTCAAAACCCACCTGGACACGTTCCTGTGCAATCTGCTTGAGGTGAACCTGCTTCAGAAGTGGGGTTGGACTTGATGATCTCCAGAGGTCCCTTCCAACTCCATAATCATTCTGTGGTTCTTTGCAGGGCAGAGCTCCCCTCTCTGAAGACCCGGGCCCCAGGGCTGCAGAAGCAGCTTGCGCTGCAAACAGGGGGATGGAGCTGAATGTCAATTCTGATCCAAACCCTTGGCTCACCCATCAATGAGGAGAATGAGAAGCATGTCTGTCCTCCTTCGCTAACGTGCTCACCGCGAAGAGAGAATGAAGAGACCAAACACCCACCAGAAAAGTACCGAGGAGGTGTCAGCCTTCTCTGTGAAAGAGTAAAACCACTTTCCTCTTGAGCAGTACTTTATTCCTGTAGGTATTTTGTAATTGTGATAGGGATGGAGGAGGAGGACTGTGTTGCATGTTAATTACACCGAAATTTGATGTATGATTGTGAGATTCCCACTGATATTCCCCATCTATTCCCCATAGATGTTTATGTAAATCCTGAAAACTGGAAGCAGCTCTTCAAGATAACTTTCTTCTACATAATTTTTACTGTATTGTTTTTTAGTTATGCTGGGTTTTTTTTTTATTTCTTTGTCTGTTTTTGTCTCATGCAGAGTACTCGGTAATAGTGTCTTAATTTCCCGCAGTCTATCCAATACCAGGCCAAACAGATATTAAGCAAAATCAAGTGGTGCTTGCAAACTCCTTAATAACAAGCAGAACCGATTACCTTAGAAATATCTGACATTGGCAGACTTTGCATATTTCACCAGGAATTTACAGGTTTTTTTGTACTGCAAAGATTGGGCTTTGATCAATGTATTCCCCCTTTTTAATATATTTTTTTTTGTAACGTGAACTTGAAATAAACATTTCAGGATTTTTGAGTATAAGGTAGTAGAGGATTAAAAATGCTGTTTGTGGTTCTACAGTAAAATAGGCTGAAATATTTACAATAAACTTAAGGCACTGTAGAACATAGGGCACCAAGAAGCTTTCTGTTTTCTTTTTCTTTTATTAATCGGTATTGATTTATAAAGTAATGTGATATTTCCTGTCGCCCACACATTTTTAAGAGTCAAATGCCTGATGACAGAAAACAATAAAACCTACTTGAAACACCCTTGGGTGAGTGTGCTATCTCAAAGGTCATTTGCTAGTCATTGTCGAGGATACATCCACCCTATAACTTATTCCATAGTTCAAAATTCAGAAGAAAATCTCCATACGTTTAAAATAAATCCAGAGACAGGACAGATTCGACTGAAAAAGCCGGTGGACTACGAAGAAACAAAGGCCACAGACGGAGGAGGTCTGTCCGCTCACTGCAAGGTAGAGGTGCAGGGGGAGGGCGTGAACGACAACGCCCCCGAGGTGATCATCACGTCCTTCAGCAACACTTTCTCGGAAGCCGCCCCGCCAAGCACTGTAGTGGCTCTGTTCAATGTGCGGGACCGGGATTCGGGGGACAACGGCAGGATGAGGTGTGAATTGCCTGGCAAGCAGTCCTTCAGTCTCACGCCGGTAGTGGTGGACGCATACGCGCTGGTGACATTGGAGGCGCTGGACCGGGAGCAGGTGACGGTCCGCGCCCGAGACGAGGGCTTTCCGCCGCTCTCGGCATCCAAGACGCTGCTTGTGCAGCCCTTGGACGTGAACGACAACGCGCCCGCCTTCTCCCAGGACGTTTACACCATGGTGCTGAGCGAAAACGAACGCGCGGGGACGAGCCTGGGCCACCTGAAAGCCACGGACGCTGACGCGGGAAAAATCGCCCACGTCAGCTACGCGCTGGGACCGCGCAGACCGGGCGCGCCCTGAGCCGTATCCTTCGTGTCCGTGAACGCGGAGAGCGGAACCGTGCGGGCGCTGCTCCCGCTGGACTACGAGGAGGTGCGCGCCTTGGAGGTGACGGTGCGCGCCGCCGACGGCGGCTCGCCGCCGCTCAGCGCCCAGGCGGTGCTGCGCGTGGTGGTGCGGGACGAGAACGACAACGCGCCCGTGGTGCTGCACCCGTCCCGCGACGGCCTGGCGGCGGCGGCGGCGGGCGAGCTGGTGCCGCGCTGGGCGCGGGAGGGCTACCTGGTGGCCAAGGTGGTGGCGGTGGACGCGGACGCGGGTCAGAACGCGTGGCTGTCGTACGAGCTGGCCAAGGCGACGGAGCCGGGGCTGTTCCGCGTGGGGCTGCACAGCGGCGAGGTGCGGACGGCGCGGGCCGTGGCCGAGAGGGACGCGCCGCGCCAGAGGCTCGTCGTGCTGGTGCGAGACCGCGGGCAGCCGCCGCGCTCCGCCACCGCCACCCTCGGCATCGCCCTGGTGGACGGCTTCTCCGACGTCTTCCTCCAGCTCTCCCAGGCTACTGCGGGGCGGTGGCAGCAGCAGCCGGCCGAAGAGGACATGCTCACCATCTACCTCGTTGCAGCCCTAGGCTGCGTCTCGTCGCTCTTCCTCCTCTCCGTCCTCGCCTTTTCGGCGGCCAAGCTCTGCAAGGCTTGACTCCGGGCACGCCTTTCGCCTCCCTCTGCTCGCTACTACGCTGACGGCGACTTCGCTGCTGACGGCGTGGACGTGGCCGGCACGGGGACTGTCTCGCTGACAGAACGATACGAAGTGTGCCTCAGCAGCGGCTCGGGGAGGAGTCAGTTCTGCTTCCTGAGGACCGTCCTGCCCAACCCAAAAAGCAGTCCTGAGGAAGGGGCGCGCAAGGACGAAGAGCCGCTATGCAGCTCGCATCCGAGGGAGAGAGGGAAGGCGAACCAGGGAGCACAGCCCCTCCGCCTGTTCAGCCGAGGAATGGCCGGACGGGGATCGCGTCCATGCCTGAGCCTTACCGAGACCTGCTCCCATTCCCCGTGATCAGCCCGAGCCTCCCCAGTAGCTGAACTGCCCTCCTCAGCTGATACATGCGTACTGCTCCCGCACATCTTCTCCGAGCAGAGAAGGTAGCTCGGTCCTTCCGAGCTGAACCTCCCACCAACGGTGCCGCGGTAAATGCCTCGCTGCCGTATTCCTGGAAAGGCAGGGAGTGGCCTTCCGGGAACTAAGCGTCTGCCCGCGGGCTCGGGGCAGCAGGGACCGGGCAAGAACCAGTCAGATGCCGGCGCTGCCCGTGCGCTCGGAGTCAAGCGGCGGAGTCAAGTCAGGACTCCCGGCGCTGTTTGCCGGCACTGTCCTCCCCGGCGCCGTGTGTGCGCGTATGTGTGCGCGGGGCCGCGCGTTTGCGGACGGGCCCGTGTGGCGGTGCGAGGCGTCAGGGCGCAGTCCCGCCGCGGGCCGCAGGGTGGTGCTCCTGGACAAGGCGGCGCCGAGCGGCTGCGGGCGGGGAGGCGCCCGAGACCAGCCCGCCGCTGCCCAGCCCAGCGCAGAGCAGCGGAGCCGAGCCGAGGCGAGCCGGGCAGCAGCAGAGGCAGCGGCGGCGGCGGCGATCGGTGCCCCGTTCGACCCGCTGCCGGAGCACGTCGGCGGCGCTGCGAGCCGCCAGCCGGACTCGGCGAGAGGGAGAGCGCCCGCCGCCGCGGCCGCCGCGCTGCTGCCGGGAGCCGCTCTCCGCGGAGGACTGGTGGGGCGACCCGCGAGACGGAGGCTGTCCGCCGGCCCGCCATGGCGATCGCAAGGCAAGTGCTTGGTCTCTCTGCTTTCCTCTGCCTGCCGCTCGCTCGCTCGGAGCCCATGCGCTACTCCGTGGCCGAGGAGGCGGCGAGCGGCTCGCTGGTAGGCAACGTGGCGGAGGACGCGGGGCTGGCCCCGGCGCAGCTGGCGGCTCGCCGCGCCCGCCTGGCCTCGGAGGACGGCCGGCAGCACTTTGGCTTGGACCCCGCCACCGGCCGCCTCGTGGTGGCCGAGAGGCTGGACCGGGAGGAGCTGTGCGGCCAGTCCGCTGCCTGCACGCTCCCCTTCGAGCTCGTGCTGGCCAACCCGCTGCAGTTCTTTCGGGTGGAGGTGGCCGTGGAGGACATCAATGACCACTCGCCCGTTTTCCCGGAGGAACAAGTCACTCTTAGGATCCCGGAAAGGAGTGACCCGGGCTCGCGTTTCCCTCTGGTTGGGGCTCGGGACCTGGATGTTGGGAGTAACAGCATCCAGGCTTACAGCATTGCTCCCCAGAATGAGTACTTTAGTGTCTCCTTTGGGAGTCGGAGTGAGGGCGACAAGTATGTGGAACTGGTTTTGGAAAAGGCTCTAGACAGAGAGGAGCAGGCAGAGGTGGGTTTCAGTCTCATTGCCGTGGACAGGGGCTCTCCTCCCAGGAGCGGGACCACCCAAATCCGCATTGTTGTTCTAGATGTAAATGACAATGCTCCTATCTTTACCCAAGAACGATACGTTGGGCAAATTTTGGAAAACGCACCCGAGGGCTCTGTGGTTCTCAGAGTGGTGGCAACTGATCAGGATGTGGGAGTTAATGGGGAGGTCACCTACCGGTTTAGCCAAGCAGTGGGTCAGAGCAACTCGGTGTTTTTGATCAACGCCACGAGTGGGGAAATTAAACTCATAAAGACTCTCGACTTTGAGGTGGCTGAGAATTATGATTTCATTGTGCAAGCCACGGATGGTGGGGGCCTCTCAGCAATCTGCAAGGTGTTGGTGGAGGTGGTGGATGTGAATGACAATGCACCGGAGCTGATGGTCAGTTCCTTCACCAGCCCCCTCCCCGAGAACGCATTACCTGGGACAGTGGTTGCCCTCTTTACTGTCAGGGACCGGGATTCTGGTGCCAATGGGAAGGTCTCCTGTGCCCTTGGGGACCAGCTATCATTCTCCCTGCGGCCGGCCTACAAGAATTACTATGAACTGGTGACCATGAGCACTCTGGACAGGGAGGAGACTGCGCGATACATCCTCAGTGTCACAGCAGCAGATGCAGGGTCACCTCCTCTCACAACCACCCAGACCTTCACAGTGGACATCTCTGATGTCAATGACAATGCACCTGTCTTCAACCAGACATCGTACACCATGTATGTGCATGAGAACAATGTGCCCACAGTGCTCGTTGGAGCTGTCAGAGCTGTGGATGCTGATGTGGGTCCCAATGCCAAGGTGACGTATTTCCTGGCACCAGCCCAGCCCACGGAGCAGCCTCCCTGCTCCTGCATCTCCGTGAACTCTGAGAACGGGCACGTGTTTGTGCTGCGGCCTCTGGACTTTGAGCAGGTGAGGCAGATTGAGGTCTTGGTGATTGCTTCTGATGCGGGCTCCCCTCCTCTCAGAACCAACGTCACAGTCCGCCTTGTCGTGGTAGACGAGAATGACAATGCACCAATGGTGCTGTACCCAGCTCAGGACAGCACTCCTCCATCCAGCGAGCTGGTACCTGTGTCAGCTGAGGCAGGGTACCTCATCACCAAAGTGGTGGCTGTGGATGCAGACTCGGGGCAGAACTCGTGGCTCTCGTACCACCTGCTGAGAGCCACCGACCCCGGGCTGTTTGTGGTGGGTGCCCAAAGTGGGGAGGTGCGGCTGAAGAGGCCAGTGACGGAGAGGGATGCCGTGAAGCAGAAGCTCGTTGTCCTGGTGCGAGACAATGGGCGGCCACCACTGTCAGCCACTGCTGCCCTGAGCGCACTCCTGCTCAATGACTTCTCCGACGTGCGCCTACCACACAGCAGCGTGGCCACAGAGGATGAGAGCGACTCCCTGACAACCTATTTAATCATTTCATTGACCTTTGTCTCACTCCTCTTCCTCGCCTCCCTCACAGCCTTCATCACTC